GTAGGGACCTCCGCCATGGTCCACTCCGTGAGCCGCGAGCCCGTACCCGTAGCCTGCCTCGAGAGTTGGTGGCGTCCAGCTGGGTGTAGATCCGGGTGCCGACGTGGCCTCCCATCCCGAGGTGATGTCGCCGCCTGATGGTTCTCCGCCTCCGATGGCGAAATGAGCCGGAAAATAGGGCCGCGGCACGTTGGCAATCTGCGCGGGAGGGACGTTGGGCGGCGGATAATTACCACCACGGCCGCCCACCTGACGACCTCGGCTCTCCGGGGGGTAAGGACTGTACCCACCATACCCACGCCCCCCAGAGTTGCGCCCCTGCAGCTGTCCTCCAGTTCCGGATCCTTGCCCACGCGGCGGTCCCAGCAGNGTAGTGGGCTTAATTCGTTGCGTAACTTGTGCCATTCGGAGGTCTCGTGGGTGCTGTTGGGGCCGTGGAGCTGGGAGAAGTGCGATGGTTGCTGCTGATGTGGCTGCTCCGAACCCTGTGGTTGCTGCAGTCGATGTCCGCCTTGCTTCGATCCTGCAGCGGCTGGTTTCCCCGCCCCGCCGCCCCGGCCCACGCCGGCAGTGCCGAGGGCGTACCTCATCTCTTCCTTCCCCTCTCCAGCTCTCCGCTCGTACCTCAGCTCGTGCTCTTCCAACCTCAGCATCTCCTGCATGGTAGCCCTCGACAACATCGAATCAAACAGAAGACGGCTTTACTTTTCTCAAACCTTGGGAAAAAACCCAGGACTATGTGCCTGCACATTGACTTTTCATCCCTGTTATCCACCATACGATCGAAGTCTCATCCACAGCGCAGCTGCCCTAGCGTAATAGTCCATAAGACTCTCTCCTTGCCTCTGACCTACTACGTTCCATGCGCCGTCTAGGGTTTGTCGCTCCTGACTCTTGTCCTGGCTGTATTGCTCGAGAAACACACGGTACCCTGCTTGAGGTGACTCTGATGCCAAGATTTGGGCTTGTACGGGTTGTGCTGTGATGTTAGCAAGCATGAACGTCCAAATCTTCCTGGATTGCTTCACTCTCTCCTCCCCGAGCGTACTGCTCAACCAGTTCAAATTAACACCAGCTGCACCAACAGGGACCTCTGAACTCCTCATCACACCAGCAAGTCCCTCACCCTCCAGCCACGCTTAAAATGCACTCGTGAACACTCGCAATGCAACGTCGATCGATTTGTTCTTCAGATAGTCGTCACTCCATGCTGGGACATCTATCTTAGCTCTCTGCCTCAGCTCTAAAATCTGGTTGCTAGACGTGCCTGAGTGGGCACGATGCCTCTGGTCCTGAGTTGATATCGCGAAGGCCTGCTTGAAGAGGTCAACCGGCTCACGCATCGCGTCGCGCTGATCTTCCCCTCCTGCCGCTCGCGCACCCCGTCGGTCTCGTGCATCGTTGACGAAGAAAGAATTGCTCCCTCCTCTGTCCGCGACGCTTTCCCGGGGGGAGGGACAGCCTGACCTGATTCCCCCGGAGGTTGTCGTCCGTCTCCGTCCGGCATGTTGCGCGCTTAGACACGGCGGCTACCATCTTGATCGTTACGCTAGCGTGTTGAGTAGCTTTGTGCGTCGGTGCCTTGGCGCGCGGGGTCCCTTGGTTGGGAAATAAAATAGCCAGCGGCGCGGTAGCCGCCAACGGTACAGTGTAGGAACCATGATGGGCGTGACAGCCTTCTACTTTGGGATGGAGCGTGATAGCTCCGGTATGGTGTCTCTGGGTGTGGCGTGGAAGCCTGTTGACGTGACAGTCGTGGCGTAAAGGTGTAAGTAAGGGCGTGGATGTCCGGAAGACGTGATAGCCGGGTGGCGTGATAGCCAGGATTGACGTGGAAGTCGTGGCGTGATAGCCGTGGTAGCGTGATAGCCGGGGAAAAAGGACTTGATTGCACACAGGAAGGAGGAAAATGAGGAAAAATACAAGTGAGGAGCCACAACACACAATCACCATATCCGTTGTAGGGCTACCCCTATTTGCACGACGCACTTGCAAATACCAACTTGCACGACTCAAACGCTTCCAGAACCACACAACCAGAAACCCACTTTCAAACTCAAAACAGCAGCGAAACAACACAGCCCAGCACATACATAACCATGCATAACCACCGCCGACAGGCCGCAAAGCACGCGCAACGCAGCAGACCACACTGCAGACATGTCCCCCCGGGATTTTGCTTGTTAGAGAGAGAGGAGCGGCACCGGCCGCTGTATTGAACACCGCTACTTATTCAGCAGGCACGAAACACCAGGTACGGCAGGTACGGCGGTACGGCAGTACAGCTACAGAAGAGCAGAAGATATGCTTAGACCCCAGCAGCAAGCAGCCTGCTCCTTAGACTAGGGATGAATCGCCCTTGTTTTTTTTAGTTTTGCCTTGCCACACACTCAACCCTTCGTGTGACGCGGGGGATACGGTTTGTTACCTGCAGCAGTGCAGCAGCAGTGCGTCTCTTGTTTTGAAGGTGCATTACGCACCAGAGCACACCAACGCCGAGAATTTCCTTCGCCGTTTGAGCCCCACAGCAGTAGTCTAGTATTCTTCCGGCAGCTGCATACGCTCTCTCCGTGTACACGCACGCTCCCGTTGACCATGTACTACCCGCGGTGTGGGCATACGCTGGCGCACCTCTAGGTTAACAACCGCATGTGGGCTTACGCCGCCGGTGGTTGCAACGGGAAAGCACAATTTAGATCAGACGGGGGTGAATTAACCAGAAAATACCAGAATAAATTGCACTCCTCATCCCCCCCGCCCCTTGTCCACGCCGTCCGTACCGTACAGGAGCGAGGACCATCCCCTTGTTTTGCATTACGCTACGCTTCGTACGACGTGGCAGCGGTGGCGGACTGAAGGTACCTCGTGCAATAGAGAGGTGCCGGGGGGGGGAGGACAACAATGGCTCAATCCAGAGACTCCGGTGGGGTACGGGAGGTGATACCGGGGTTGGCGTAGGTCGTCTCCCACCATCTCCCATGGTATCATGGACACTGAAAAATATATGGCATTGTTCACTTGTTGATTGTGATCCTCCATGGCGCTAGCGCTCCACCGCCACGAAGAGGCTACCGAGAATGTCGGACTGCGAGGCGGGTGACACTTTTTGTGGATTCCATTTTGCAAAATTCATTCACTCTTGTTTTTAGTGTGGGGGGTAGGGGCTATTTAGACTAGAGTTGCTTGTTCTTTTCAATGTATGGATTCTGTCATGATATCATGGACATGGAACTGTATATGACATTGTTCACGTGTTGATTGTGATCCACCATGGCGCTAGCGCTCCACCAGCACAAAGAGGCTACGGAAAATGCGGGCTGCGGGGCGGGTGGCTTTGTCTGGATGTCATTTTCTTGAATATATTCACTCTTTTTGGGGGGGTAAAAGCTAGACTAGAGATGGTTGTGGTTTTCATTTTACCGCTTATGCATCTCGTCTCCGTTCTGTTGGGTGTGGGTACGAAATCGTTCGGTCACTCGCGGCACTTGAGCATGTTTGAATAAGGATCGACCCCGGATCGAAGCTCTCCGTTTCAATTGGAGTAGGCACGACCTCATCAGACTGAGGGGCGATCCTTTGAGATGAAAACGACTGAATACCGTTGGTGGCAGCTTGGGCGGGACGGATAGGGAGGGAGCTTCATGTGCACTGAGTGAAAGTGAAGCTGATCTGTTTCATAAGACCCCTAAAAGAACATGGAAATGGTCGTTGGGGAAAAGCACAAAATGATACTCTACGCCTGAACTCGGCCAAACATCGGGTTTACACATGAAACGGCCCATGCTCGCCTCCGCATAACACAGAAGTGGGGAACACTTGGACCGTGGGTCCCCATGAACATAGGACTACAAGGAGGTCAGAAGAGTCCAAAAGGCTAAACACCCCTGTTCGTGTTTGGCATTCCGTTCCATATTACTGACGTCATTTCATTACACGCTCATCGGGCTGTCGATCCCGGAATACAGAGAATGCACACTCAGTCGCTCCTGCACACACTCATCTCACATAATTCACTCGACGAAACTTTTTCACTTGCGCACTCATTTCATTGAGCTCTCTGACTTCACTCGATTCACTAAGCTTCATTTCACGCAGCATAATTCGCTCACCCAGCCAAGCCAACTTACGGTGAACTCGATGAAGCCATGATGACAAAGATACGGACGGCTAAGCAACAGGTTTCGTCGTATATTGGCCGCCTTACAGCTGCAATGAGCAACCGGTGTGTGCCAAGTGAAGCCAACACAGGTACATTCTATTCTTCTTCCTATTTATTGATACAAAACAATTGTACATATGTTTCAATAATATCTGTTTCATTTCCCTCCCAGCAAGAAAGAAAGCTACCAGCATGGTTGGTTACACAATGACCGCAAATCGTCACAAATGTACTGTCTGCATTGCAAATACATCAATCTGTAAGAATACATTCACACGCTAAAATTCGAAAAAGCAACTGTTTCTTCTTTTTCTACGCCTGTCGCCTTAGGCCTCGATCCAAAACGATATCCAACTCCTCGGCGTTTGCGTCACCTGATGCTCCTTCTGCGGAAATAATGGCCATCGACACGCGCTAAAGGGGTCATTCCACGTGGCTAAGCAGCAATGACCAGGACACTTACCGGCGAGAAAAACGTCATCTCCGCTTACGACATGGCATGGACTATTTTTCATTGCTTTTCCCACAAGGCAGGGCATCCGGCTGCACGTTGCCATGCAAAGCACAGCTGAGAATAAAATCACAGGGTAACACAGTCGTTGATACGGGAACCCGATTTCAGCAAGTTGCTCCTTTGGTGAACGAATTCCTCATCGACGTATTCAGCCGCAACGAGTATCAAAGACTCACCGTTCACGCACATAATCAAGATAACCACGACAAGTATCGCACTTCATTACACCACTCACAAGTTGGCGGTGTCACGGATACCAAGATCCCTCGGGACTACTGGACATCTGCACCAGCCGACAAAGTTATCATTCCGTCCAGCTTTAGCCAAGGCAGAGCGGGCGAACAACCTCACGAAAGAAGCGATGGCCATCTCACGAGTGCTGCATCAGCACACAACAAACATCTTTACACAATGAGACATTGATTGGTTGATGAACGTTTACATTATAGACTATACCACATCCGTCCAACCCTGAGAGGCCACAACCGGGTCGCCCAGAGCTCGCCGGCGTCATCGACGACTACTATACGTTGGGCACGACCAAACCCGGCTTTTTCACTCCCATCTAGTCTATGTAGCAGCCTTCAACCATCAACAACTTCAGTACTTCATCTTTCCCGCTCGCAGCACCAGCTGCAAAGATTCCATCCCCCCACACGCCGCACGCACCCCTGTCACACTCGCCCCTATCCCCGAATTCTTCTCATTCGCCATCCTATGGGTTAGACCTCTCCAAGAGCACCTCCAATACTTCCATGCCCCCCAGCGCAGCAGTACATACATGCAGGCACCCAGCACATGGCAGTACCATCTCATCACATAATGACAGACAACGTAAATTCCATACATCAACATACAGACATTCTCCGTATATACCTCGAAGTATCCTCCTGTCAAACCAAATATCCTGCTGTCTGAACGTTTATTTTGGTGAGCCATGATGAAAATACGTTGGCGCTCTCATCTTCGTATATTTATGTAGTCTAATCCTCCTGTCAAAACAAATATCCTGTCTGAACGTTTATTTTGATGAACCATGATCAAAATAAGATCTCACAGTTTCGTCGGGAGCGTCTCCTTCTTCTCCTCCTGCGGTCTCTCCTCCTTCTCCCTGCTGCTGCTGCTGCTGCTGCTGCTGCTGCTGCTGCTGCTGCTCCTCCTGCCCCTCCTGCCGTTGTTCTTCGGCTGGGCTTGATCGCATGCACGCGTCGCCGCTCTCTACCTCTACGGCGACAACTGAATGCTCGTCGTCACGTATCGTTCTTTTCAGGGACATATCTGCAGTGTGGTCTGCTGCGTTGCGCGTGCTGTGCGGCCTGTCGGCGGTGGTTATGTGCTGTGTTGTTTCGCTGCTGTTTTGAGTTTAAAAATGGGTTTCTGGTTGTGTGGTTCTGGGGGCGTTTGAGGCGTGCAAGTTGTTATTTGTAAGTGCGTCGTGCAAATAGGGGTAGCCTCCGTCCGTTGTAGACACACATACCCCCACCCTCAATCCTGTTATATGCGGCAAAGTTGGTACCACCAAATCTAATCCATAGCAACCTCTGAACCCCCAAACTCCCCGCTTCATCTGCTTGGAAATTTCTTCTTGACATAAACTGTCGATTCTGTGAGTACGTCTGCTAGATATACTCGTAGCATAGTAATGGTTGAATATGGGACATGGATCTACGGAGATTGCAGTTGGTAGATCGCAAAGGAACAGGGAGTTTCTGCTTGGTTTCTCCGGATTCGATGAGTGATCTGAATTGCGTGACGGTGTGGTGACCCACTCTTCGGCTGCTCGGCCTCGAGTGGTCGCTGCCCTTCCCTCTTCCCTCTAATACAAGACTTTCCCATCTCGGCTTTCACTGGCCGAACTGCCTTTCTCCACAAACTTACAAGCTTCGGCCTACCCGGTTTATCCAACACGCTAGCATTAACGGCTTTGTGGAGGGTGATTGGGTAGCGCCGATGGGCAGCCGCATGCGCGGCTGACGACACCCAACAAGACGAAGAGGCCACCAACGGCGAGGGCCTGCACAGCAGCAGCAACCCCAAGACCTACAGCAGCGCCATCGTCAGCTGTGCCCCGCCGTCTACTGGGGTTGTAGGCATGAACAGGCACGTGATGACTTGTCAGTTTTGGACTGCTGTCGATATGTGTACACCCATGCGGTGATGCGGTACGCCTACATCGTGCCTTCAGATCCTAAACGCGGCATTACGCCGTGCGGTACTGCCGTCAAACACCAACACTTACTCCAACTCCACCTCCACCCGGCACTGCCGTCAAACTCTCTCTCCCACTCATTCTCTAGTAATCGCGGCAACACGCTGCACGGTAAAGCCGTCAAACACCAACACTTACTCAATCAAAACGCGACAACACGTCGTGCGGTACTGCCGTAAAACTCCACCGCTCGGTCAAAGACCGACTACCTGTAGCAAATGGGTAGACACAATCCAGGTTATCAGTAATCCTCAAAAACTGATGCCAGTTAGATTCTAAACTGATGATACTGTTTGTGCGTGTAGCATGGTATTTAGAAATAGTATTGTGCGTAATGTAATGCAGTGATTGGCGAGGTTTTGTTCGTCTTCCTGACAGCCGTGCTGAGACTAACTTTCTCTAGCCGGTAACAGCGTGATCAACGTTTTATCTGGGCTCTCTTTGGTAGCTACTTTTTGAGCAGCAGGTTTAGCCTGATCAAAAATGCGTGATCAACGTTTTATCTGGACTCTTTTTGGGTAGCAGGTTTAACCTGATCAAAAACTTTTCATGTCTTGGTTGTGTCAGCGAGTGCCGGAGACGTGTCAAGTCTCAACGAAGTGCAACATTGGTACCTCCACCTTGTTGCAGATTAAAAATCCACAATATTGACGAAATAAATAAATGCTGATTTCCTAATATTGTTGTACGTTGTCTTGAGATTGCTATTTGTTGTGAGATTGCGGTTCCAAAAGTTGTTAAGGTTTTGACTTAGGATTGATTACCCTATGGTTAGAACAGTAGCAGCAGCTTGATTACTATTTTGCAACAGAGGACTAATCAACCTCCGTTTCAGGATGATATTCAGCTATTTATTGAGTGACAATGTTGCAGTGATCGATAATTTCAGACAAACGAACCATTCCACAAGTAGGGTCCGACGACTTGAAAGTGTGATTGATTCATTTGTTGATTTTTCTCCTGCAGTCACTACTGTGCAGAACCGGGGGGAATGTTCGTGGTATGTGATTCTCCTCAGTAGTGCTGGTTTGTTCGGAACTAATCTGCCGCCATCATCCCCTCCGAACGCGCGACCTGCCCTGCACCACTGCCGAGTCAATCCTCTCGGAGCGACAANATATGAAAGGAGATAGGCGACCGCGGCGAAGGCGTGCGAAATATCCGCTGGGGGGGGGAGAAACAATGGCTTGGGCAATGGGTTAAGCACTGGAGCCTGATGCGCCGGCAAATGTAGGGGTTCGAGTGTTTTTGTTTTGGTATTGGATTGTGTTGGTTGGATTGGATTTTGGTCTTGGTGTTGAATTGATTTCTAGCATTTGGGTTGTGAACGTTGTTTTGGCATTGGATTTGATTTGTTTTTGGTGTTTCGTCGGGATTTATTTGTAGCAGGTTTGTTTTTCTTGCGTTTCGACTGGATGAATTTTGAATGTTGTTCTTTTGTTCTATGGATCTGACTCCAACCCAAATCATGGGGGCGGATCTCCCAGAGCAGGGGGGCACGTTGTTCTTTTGGAAGGAATTCACTGTAGCTGGTGCTAAGTTTCTAGGGAGAAACAATAAGGAAAATACTCGCTCGCGTATGTTCTGCTCAAATGATCTCAACGCTGAACGAATGTTTGGGGATGGACGTTATTTGATCGGAAGTGTGAGAGTAGAGGATTGGTACCATGCCCAGAAGCGTTTTATCTGCGAAGTGGGCATGAAACGTATACTTTGGTTTGTGTTCGAAAGTTTGTGTATTTTTGGTAGGATTCGTAGTCGGATGAACGTAGTCGGATGCACAACAAAGAAGGCGATTTTCTACGAATTGATCCGTGTTTTGGAAAGAAAATGAAGAGGAGTTCCACAGACAGGTTTGACTCGATAGATTGTTTAAGGCTTTCAGTTGTGCGAGGGACATAAGTGCTTTGCGGGTGTCTTTGCGGCTAAGTGCTGAGAAAGGATGGACCAGCAAAAGAGCGTTTTGCAGAGAAGAATGAAGGCGATGGGACAAGACGTTATGGGTTCAGGAACTTTTGCATAATCGACTTCTTGCTTTTGTCATGGAGGAGTGGGATCCACGTTTTGGGTCGTACATGGAATTGTGATGATTTGCCGGATCACTACGATGCATACGAGCAGGGGGGCTGTTAGATATACTCGTAGCATAGTAATGTGGTTGAATATGGGACATGGATCTACGGAGATTGCAGTTGGTAGATCGCGGAGGAACAGGGAGTTTCTGCTTGGTTTCTTCGGAGATTCGATGAGTGATCTGAATTGCGTGACGGATAGGTGTGTGTGGTGACCCACTCTTCTTCGGCTGCTCGGCCTCGAGTGGTCTCTGCCCTTCCCTCTTCCCTCTAATACAAGACTTTCCCATCTCGGCCCTCACTGGCCGAGCTGCCTTTCTCCACAAACCTACAAGCTTCGGCCTACCCGGTTTATCCAACAACGTCTAACACAGCTTTTGACTGGTACAAATAATGTGTAGTCTGTCAGCTCCTTGCGTTTCACGATTTTAAACGACTGAAGTGCCGAACCAACAGTACAAGAAAGCCTGGCGCAGCTGCTGCACTTTCCTCTATCACCTGTCGTGTATCATTCTTTTGGTCTCTGATGTAACGACCGCTACAGGTACAAACCTGCTGCCTTGGGGTGTACCAGCGCTCGCTCGTTCTTTTCGCGGGTTCCCATTGTAAAAGTGGCGGTAGTGTATGGATTGGACCTACAAAGCCGAACCGTCGTTGGAGAAATCGTCCACGACTACTTGATGAGAGTCACGCCTGCAAGAGCTGCGAAAGAGAGCCGGTGGAAACGAAGACGGGAAAGTGGGAAGTAGAGTCGGCGACGGCTACGAGTGTGCTGGCACCGGGGCTTGCTCAAGCTTCGTCTGCGTGACCTGGTGGAGGTTTTGCATCCAAGTGGCTTTCAACGTTCAGCGGTCGAGATGTAACTGAACCCTCGGATCGAGCAGAATGTTGTGAGCCCCACCGGGGATGACTCTCGCAGACTACTAAAGAGGTGACCACATCAAACACCACATCAAGCACTTCATGGCTATGCAGGCAGCCAACGTGAGCGAGCGAGCAGTTTCCATGTGGGAATTTTATCAGATAGATAGCTAGAGTAGATGTCCCCATTAAGCCCCAGAGTCAGTTAAGCCCCACTTTTTTAACCGTCAAAACTTTCCGCCAAATAGACTCTCTACATGGAACTCCATTTTTTTTTGAAATTTGAAAGCACACCGTGAGCTTGCGTTTGAGCATCTGTACGCACGAATCAGCTGCGCCACTCCCGAGATACAGCGCCACAACCACCACCGTCGGCGGATACTGGAAGGTTGGCGTTTTGGCCGCTCCTATTGCTAAGGATGACCAGGTCTAAGGTGGACCCAGAGCAGGCGCAGAAGGCCATCGAGGCTGTCCGCAGCGGCGCAATGTCTCTCCGGGCTGCTGCACAGGCCTATGTATGGCGTGAACAAGCGCTCTCTCTCTCGCCGGCTGAGCGGTGATGTAAGCATGGATGCAAAGGTTGGTCCAAGGACTGTGCTCACAGTCGATGAGGAAAATTTTGTTGAGGATGCACTGCTGTACGCTGCTCGTCACTTCATCGGGATCGACCGGACTGCGCTGCAAGAACATGTGCGCCAGCTGTGCAACGACGGTCGGGATATCCCGTGGGATGCAGCAGTCGGCCCGGGGCGATAATGGCTAGACGGCTTCTTCAAGAGGAATCCTGCGCTGTCGGAACGGAGCGCTTGCATCTACAAGGCCAATAGAATCATGAGTGACGATGAGACTCGCCTGCAGACGTTCTACAAGGACTTTGGCGAGTTCGTTGACAAGGACAAGATCTTTGCCAATCACCTGTGGAACACAGATGAGACCGGTGAGGTTCATATAGAAAGGTGTTGCTGATGGATCTAAGCAGTAGGCAAGGGCTACAGCAGTGCTGTAGTGCGCGGTGCAGCTGCGCGGCAACTTGCTAGCAGCAGGCGGAGTTGTGCCGAT